GTATGTATATATTATATGTATTTATTATTGCGTATAAATATTATTCACAGATAGGAAATTTATTTAACATCTTTCTCTTTTATTAATTAATAATATATTTGATATTATTCTATGAATTAATTAATCTTTTTTTTTTTTTTTCTCTTAAATAGACAATATTACGTCGTACGTTAAAATAATTTATTTATTGTATTAATCTCTTGTTCGATTATTTTATTAGCTCTTCTTTTATATACATACATACATACATACATACATATATATACATATATATATATATATATATATATATATTTATTTCTACATAAGTCATATCGATCCACGATATTACGTCGAGCTGGCTGACGCATTTTAGATTGATCGCTAGAAAGGGTGTAAGCCATGCTAACGATACCTACCTCTGGTGTAGCCGCACGAATGTTAATTACTTGAATAATTAATATCGTTATGTTTCCATCGTGTAGAAGAATGGATTAAGCAGGAATAATAGGAAATTGTTTAGGAGAGTTTTATAACGTTTATTTATTTCATTTCATTTTATTTTATTTTGATGTCATCTTCTTCTTTTTTTTTCTTTTTTTTTTTTTTTTTATTTAAATAATATTGCAAATGACTGTCGTTGTTATTATTGTTATTATTAATATTATTATTATTATTATTATTATTATTATTATTGTTTTTTGCTTTTTTATTTTTATTTTTAATTTTTCCTTTCGTACGTATTTCTGTATTTTTTTTTTCTTTTTTTCTTTTTTTTTCTTTTTTTAGATGGCCGTTCTTATAAATTTCGATATAAAATCGTTTTCTAACAACAGGTGGTTTAGATATCGTTGAATTTAGAAATGTACAAGCTTACGAGATTTATATATATATATATATATATATATATATATATATATTTATCTAGCTCTGTGTATGTATGTATGTATGAACGAATGTATGTATGTATGACAATCTGGTATATATATATATATATATATATATATATATATATATATATATATGTATATATATAATGGAGCACTTTAACTGTAACCATTTAGATTCAATATTTTATGAAAATATTTCTATGACAATTATTTATCGTATTTGTATTGAATAAAAAAGATATGTATGTATTATAATAATGTAAATAGGTGACATATTTATTTATAATGAATACATATATATATATATATATATATTTATATATATATATATATATATATATTCATATAAACAATAGTTGTATGATTATATCGTTTATATTATATTCATTTATATTATTTAGTTTAGTTACATATTCACTTATATTAAATTATATAATTATATCATTTATATTATATTCATTTATATTATTTAATTCAGTTATATATTCATATAAATAATAATCATATTTATATATATATATATATTCATTATAAATGAATATGTCACCTATTTACATTATTATAATACGTATGTTTCTTTTTTATTCAATACAAATATTCAATAAATATATATATATATATATATATATATATATATATGTATACATATATATGATAATTATTTTATTAAGTAAATAATCGAAGAAAAAATATTACATATCTATATTATATCTATACCTATATATATATATATATATATATATATATATATATATATATATAAATCTATAATCGATCATGCAAATAAAAAAATTTTCAAACGTTATAGTTTTGTAAATTATCGCTAGTATGAAAATAAAATTCGTATGAAAGAAGAAATAAGAAAAAAGAAAAAAAAAATAAATAAAAATAAAAGAGCCTTTCTGACCTTTCCCATAATTGTATGTGTAGTATGCCATTTTAAAACTACGTATCTTCAGTTCACGTGCAGTAAATAAACAAACCTGAACGATTCGTTCTATTTCTATTTCGCTTTGATCATTCGCTCGTAAGTTACACCCACATATCGAACGTACATACACATAACAAGTGTATATAATATATATATATATATATATATATATATATATATATATATATATATATTTATATACATACATACATACATACATACATGCATACATACATACATATGTACGTTCGATTTTACTTCGAGCTGAGGAAACAAATCGTACGGAAGTAGGAATCCTATCGATTTTAGTACAAGAAATAAATTCTTTACAATCACAAATCTCCCTAGTGTTTCTGACAATTCATTATTAAAATATATTAATGTAAAATAAAAATTGTCCTTCGATGTATGCGTAAATAATATTACGTAGACAAATTTTTTTTATAATTTAAATCTTGCATATATATATATATATCGTTTTATAATTCTATAATTATATATATAAATAAATATATAATTATATAATATATAATATATAATTATATATATAAATAAATATAGATACGCATGTCATGTATTTGCATATAATGGACGACTGCATTTAGGATGAACATATATATGAACGCGAATGTGTATGTGTATATATATATTTATATATATATATATATATATATATATATATATATATATATAAATGTTTTTCTCTCTTTCTCTCTCTCTCTGTGTGTGTGTGTGTATGTGTATGTGTGTGTAGATTAAAGGTGCTTTGAAAGTTCGGGAATGCTGATTAACGAGACAAATTTTGGGTGCTCTCCAACTATAAGAGAGAAACTCTAATGAACGTGATTGCTTCTCCTTTCGGTAACATTTGCAAAAGCACAAGTTTCATTTTAGCGAGTACCGATAAGTGAGAATTAATACGATATTTCTCAGTAACATTTTCCTATTAGACGAGATATCCTTCATGGATTTATTATTTATTCGACAAGATATTCAAGTTTATTCATCGCTTTCCTTCTTATCGAATTATTTCAAGTATTTTGAGATATGATTTTATGAGATCGTACGTTTATAATAATCTGATAATAACAAGATACAGATATTATTGATAGTTTGTCCTTTAACAAATACTTTCTTTTTTCTTTTTTTCTTTTCTTTTTTTTTTTACTTTTTTCGTTTTTTTTTCTGTTTTTTTTTTCTTTTTTTTCTTTTTTTTTTTTTTTCTCTTTTTAATCGAGATTAGCCTCGCGATATCCGATCGTGCATTATGTGCATATAGATATTTGTATGTATGTATGTATGTATGTATGTATGTATGTATGTATGTATGTATGTATGTATGTATGTATGTATGTATGTATGTATGTATGTATGTATGTATGTATGTATGTATGTATGTATGTATGTATGTATGTATGTATGTATGTATGTATGTATTTGCAAAACCAGGCCGCCTAGAATTCTGTCGAGCGTTGCGGAACGCTCTAACGTTCGAATTTATCGCGATTTAACGTTGCCCCGCATTGTCCGAGCCCCTCTAGTTCCGCGTAACTGTGGCACAAAATGTTTGTTTGCTTTCCAATTATATTTTATTCCAATAGTCGAATAACATCAATTTTTATATATATATATATTTTTTTTTTTTTATTCCCAATTTCTTTTTTCCTTTTTTTTTTTCCCTCTTGATTCTCACACTCCTCATCATCATCCCTTGGTTCAAGTGGGATTTAGAGCAGTAAACATTTTCGAGGTCGGTGTTATTCTAGCAAACGAGCACGCGCGCGCGTGTGTGTTTGTGTGTGTGTATGTTTGTGTGTGTATGTTCGTGTGTATACAATGTCCAAAAAGTATGGGCCAAATTTATACGTATATAGATGAACAAAATTCATATATATTTATGTTCAAAAGTGCTTTATTGAAAATATATATGCTGTTAAAAATATTATATAAATATATATATATATATATATAATATTATTTATATATATTAAATATATAATATTGTTTATATATATATATATATATATATATATTATATATAATATTATTAATATATAGAAATATTATATATTATTATTGATATATCTATATTATACATATATAATATTTATACATATAATATTTATATTTATATATTTTATATATATATATATATTATTATTTATACACATATATATTATATATTTATTATTATTTATATATATATATATATATATATATATATATGTTTTATTTATATGAACATGCATAAATATATATATATATAATGGTAGATAGGCATTTGAGTAGACGTCAATGAGCGAAGTGAAGAAGAGAGGTAGACAAAGATAGAGAGAGATAGAGGAGAGATAGAGGAGAGATAGTGTGAGTGAGAGTGAGAATGAGAGGGAAATTGGAAGAGAAAGAGAGAGATAGAGAAAGATAGAGAGATAGATAGAGAGAGAGAGAGAGAGAGAGAGAGAGAGAGAGAGAGAGAGAGAGAGAGAGAGAGAGATAGTGAAAGAGAGGGAGAGAGGAAGAGAAAGAGAGAGATGGATGTTTTGGTGGTAACAAATCACGCGAGATGCGGCTGCCATTTCGAATTCCCGCTTGCGTTCCGCGAGTTAAAGCTCGACGGGACGCGACGGGACGCAACGTACCGTGGCACGGTACGTGCCGGCCACGTCGACGTATAATTTACACACTCAGTCACACATTACGGTCTACATATTGCACCCTGCATTACACCCGATGACGTACATTATTCAAAGCGATGACGATAGTCGCCGTAGCGTTCCAATCTTCTTTCGTATAGATTAAAGTACATACTGGGTGATACAATTTATATCATAGTTTGCTCTTGTCATCAATACTTTTCCCCCTATATTATTCTTTCTTCCCTTTTTCTCTTCTTTTCTTTTTCTTTTCCTTTTTTTTTCTCCCCCCTTCCCCCATCCTCATTTTTCTTTCTTTTTCTTCTTTTTCGTTTCTTTTGTTTTGTTTTTGTTTTTGTTTTTGTTTTTGTTTTTGTCTTTTTATTTTCTTTTCTTTTTTTTTTTTTTTTTATTTTTCTTCTAATTATTACCTTTGCCTCTTCATTATTTTACCGTTTTTTCTTTCTTTTTTTTTTTTGCTTTTTCATTTTCTTGTTTCTTCTCTTTTTTTCTTTTCAGTTCTCTTTTTCTTCTCTTCCTCTTTAATTCTCTCGTTCGTTTATTTAA